ATTTGAGTCAAAGAATTTTTTCAAAAATTTATATGAATGTAATTCATTTGATGCTTTAGTGATGAAAAAAGAATCTTAAATAATAAATTTATACCAAAAGATTAAAAAGAGAATTTATATATAATGTTGTTGTTAGATATTTACAACACTTTTTAATTAATAAAAAGATTATCTTTTTTGAATAATGATACATCTGTATTTAAAAAATTGATCTTTAGAAGTCTAAAAAAGGGAAGTAAGTTTTCATTTACATTTATAAATAATTTTAAATTTTGATATATTTTATTGCATATTTATATTGTTCATTAAACAATACATAATGAGCTTTTATCTGCTACTTTAACTTGATTTCCATTTTAGTTCTCTTTTTATTATATCTATTTGTTTTCAGATAACTCATGTTATTCTTTGATTGCTTAGATTATTATCTACCTCAAAACTACCTTTTTACTAAATATTTCATTTAATATCATATCACTATTTGCTTCCAAATAATTTAAAATAATCAATGCATCTTCAGTACCTGCTGCCCAGTATATATTATCTCTAAATTATTTATCTTCTTCTTGCAACAATTAATCTGCAAACTTCCTAAATCTTGATTTTGGTTTATTAATCAAATTAGCTTATTAATTTTTACTTAATTCTAAGCTTGCAATTTATATCTCTATTTATAATTGGCCTGGAACTATAGAACTACATTTTAAAATATTATTTAGTTTTCTTAATCTTGTAGTAAATTTATGCTCTTTATGATATTCAAATCCAAAATCGAGAGCAGCATTAATTATGTTAAAAGCATTCCCAACAATAGGTAATCCTCCGAAAATCTAGGATCCTATATTTAACATCTTTTAAAAAACATTTAAAGTTTATTCAGACTTACTTTCGATTATTGCATTTTTATTAATTTAAAATAGATTAGTGGAAATCTATTACATTGCAGATAAATAATTATACAATCTCCAAGCTAAAGCATTATAATACATCAATTAATTCTTATTTTCTTTTTTATTTAATTGTTTTAGAGATTCAGAAACCTTATAATTATCTTATTCTAAAAGTGAATTGACATTTATTGCAAGCGTAGTTATTTGGTTTTAAAAATCAGTAAATCTTTGCTCAAATTGTTCCAAAATTTAAAAGTAAATTAATTATAGATTGTTATTTAATGAAGTATCTAATGGCTTTATTTGTTATGTGAATTCATTTGCCAGTTTCTAGGCTTATTCCTCTAATTAAATAGACTTCTATCTTTATAATTGTTAAGATAAATAATTAATTTAAACATCTGTTATTTATATCTAATTTTGAATTTCTCTAAGTAGATTAAGTTCTTTCTTAATATAGTTAAGATTTGAATTAGATAAATTCCATTTATATAACTATTGTTGATTAATCGAATCTAATGATTGTTGTGCTTATGTAAAATAAATATTTGCCTAAGCAAATTATTTTAATTTAAAATAGAGGCTTCCTAAGTTTGTAAGATAAAGTGGATGATCTGGTTTGAATAGGAGAGCTTTTTAGTAGTCTTGGAGTGCTTTTTC